CACAGCTAACAGTACTGCTATTCTTGTACATGTGCTGGTTACATCTTAGATTGATTATTGTAATTCTGTCCTCTCTGCTTTACTGCACAAAAGTCTCCAGAGACTTCAAATCGTTCAAAACTGTTTATGTCACTTCTTGAACATATAACTGCTGTGCTCCAGCAGTTTGATTGGAAGCCTGCAAGATATTGTTTTATTTTAAGATTCTGCTTCTGATTTTGAAGCCTCTCCATTACCTCTGATGTGCACATCAGCATTCCCTCCTGTAGATCCTCCTATGTTACCCTCATTTCACTTTTTTCTCTCTCTTGATTTGTATTGTTGACTTTGTAATTTTATGATGTATTGATGTATAGTTAAGGCATTTCCTACTTTTTGCGTCCTATGATTTTGATATTTAATTGTTGTCAGCAGCCCGTACTTTGAAAAAGACCAAAGCTATGATCTGTGATGAAAGAAAAACTGAGAAAGTGGTAACATGATAAGAAATGCTTAATTTCATCATACAGCAAGGATTTTCTGCATCAATCCTGCAGCACAAACGTGAGATAATGGAGGAACAATGGCATCACAAGTGCTCAATTACAGCACTGACTGCGCAACCAAAGCTCAGCAGAAAGTAGATTAGATTAGACAGAATTGTAGTTTGTAAGGACAACAGAAGGGAACACACTCATTGTTTTTCTCCTGATTGGAAGCAGACGCCACATGTCCCCGAGCGATTACCTGGAACTTTGATCTCTGGCCCACAGATCAGCACACACCGAAACCTAAACTGTTTCTGCTGAAAATCACACACTGCTGGAGCTCGAGCGGTGTGTGTCGGAGGAATCCCGAGTTGCTGTGACATTACCACTCACTGGATGGTTTTCATGCTTTTTCTTCCTATCAAAGAGTTCAGTGCTCCATGATAACACACCCATCATCATATGTGGTAACACAAATACACACACATTCTCTTGATACTTGCAGTCTCTAATCACCATGTTATTTTGATTCCACTGTTATGAATGTACCCATTGGTATTACGTTGTGGTATTTGTGGGAAAACACAAGAAAAGAAAGTTCCTGTATAGTTTTACAGATGTTACAGATGTTTTCTGGTGAATACTTTCATTTCTCCCCAGTTAACCAGAACCGTAAACACAGTTTTCTTTTCCCTTTCTCAACATCTGTTATAAACCGGTAACTTTATGTCGACGTGACCTTTAATGGAAAGATAAGAAGCCAGTTTGTGTCTTACCTTCTGCAGCCACTGTGTGTTGTTCTCCATCGTGCTCTCCAGGTGTTGCAGTTTCTGCGCCGACCATTCGCTGTCAGCAGGCGGCGAGTCTCTCTGCACGACACCCGGCCCGCCCTGAAAGCCACCGTAGCGTTGCGTCTGCGATGGCGACCCTCCACCGGGGCATCCGTCCAGCTCTGGCAGGATGAAGGTGTAGCTGCACTGGCCGTGCTGGATGCGGTGCAACTTCCTCCTTTTCTCGCCGGCGCCTCCACCACTTCCTCCTCTCCTTCTTCCAGATGCTCCTCGTTCTGCGCTGCCTGCATCAATGACAGCTGACAAAGTCCAAAGGAGCAGAAGGACCAGCAACCCCCGGCTGAGACTTAAGCCTTTCATGACACTCTCTTTAATTAAATGAAAGTGTTTATTTCTCAGCGCAGAAGAGGGTCAAAGGAAGCTCATTGACACTCTGACCCCGATTAAGTTTAGGAAAACGTCTGTGTCAGCACAGTCTGTCGTTAGTTTGATCTCTTCTGTTTCAATCACAGTTTTTGGAAAAGAAAGCTGAAAGCATCTCTGCTCTCCCACTGAATGGTCTCCTTCATTTGTGGTGACGATGTCCAAGGATTCCTCGCTCCTCTGTCTTCAATGTTTGGTCGTAATCGTGTCTTCTGAGGCCGGGTTCTTCCAGGTAATAAAGACTTTTATATATTAGCTCAACTGATCAGCTGTTGCATGTTTTTTCCTTAAGGTATCAGGTGCAGATCCAGATCC